ACTGCCCGGCGCGCGATCGGAGCTGCGCGGGGCGGGGACGGCGCCAGATTCAAAGCGTCCCTTCCCGACGCGGAGTCCGTCACCGGGACCCGGCCGCGGCGGCGGGGCGGGGTCCCGGGAACAAAGGCGGGCCTCGCGGAGCCCCGCTCGCCGCGCTCCAGGTCGGGGTCAAGGGGAAGCGAAAGTGAAACCCGAGGCAGAGGGCGCCCAGCCTGGCCGCTCACCCGCTCCGGGGCTCCACGGCGGCGGCGGCGCGGGGTCCCGGGAACACCTGCCCCGCCTTGCGGAGCCGCCTCGGCCTGCGAGCCCCCTCCGGGTCTGGAGCCGCGGCCCCACCTCCCGGTAAGTCAGCAGGCCTGGCTCGCCTGGGAGTGGAAGTGGGGAGGGGGCCGCGGTGCGGGGAGCGCGAAGGGAGGGTTCCGGCGCGAAACTCGGCGTCGGCGTCTGAGTGTGCGGGGCCTGGGGGCGGGGGCCGAGGTAGGACGTGGGGCGGGGGACTCGGGGAAGCCTGGAAAATGGGGAAGGGGACCCCAGAGACTGGAGTTCTTTGCTATAGCTCAGAGCGCCTAGGGCTCTGGTCTTCAACAGCATTGCCTCACATGGCATTTTTAGAAAGTGCTTAAAATCTCTCCTGGAAAGAGACTGGAAGGCAACCTGCCTTTCTCTCTCCTGCCTGTGCCCTGGTTGAGAAGCGGCCACTTTTTCCTCCCAACGTGACATTGTTGTGGGCCCAGAGCATCTTCCACTCCATGAGAACAAAAAAAAGGATGGGTGGTGGAGCACCTAGGGTTCAGGGAGGCTTGGCGGGACCCTTGGTGGACAACTTGGACACATTGTCGTTCAGGCAGTGTATCTTCCCTGGTTGGCTGCCTGGACCCCATGCCCCATCACCTTCTCTGGACAACCCAGCCCTGCGGAATAGGGGTTCTTCCCAGTATGCTGGGCCCGGAAGCTCAGCAAAGGTCCATAGTACCTCTGGTCCTGGACTGAGGAGGCAGTGCCCCTACCTAAGGCCAGAGAATAGGGGGACACTGTCTGACTCTGCCCCCGGGGGACGGTTTGAATGTGGCCCTTCAGGGTTCAGGAACCTAGATGAGCGGGAGAGTCCCAACTTAGCCCTAGGGTGTTGCCTGATGTGAGGAGGAAGGCCGCTACCCCTGTCCTCTACCCATCATGACTTTTCAAGTCCGTGGTCCTTGGGTTGGGCCTGGTCACTAAGAGGTTAACAAGCCATTCTCTTAGTTGCTGCCAGCCACCAATTAGTCTGTAATCATGCAGCTGCCAAGTGTCCCTAGGGGCATGTGGTCAGCCTAATGGGGCATTCTCTGGTTGGGCAAGGACTGGGGAGGTGGCCATGCAACCTGTGCTTAAACCAAACACTAGGCCTTTTGGAGTTTTCTTAGGGTCCACAGACCCCTTCTCTGCTCTCCTCGTGCAGCTGCCTGGTTTAGGCACTTCCTGGGGTTCTACACTTACAGGGTATGAAAGCTTGAGTCAGTTAAACTTGGTTTCAAACTCAGGCTCTACCACTTTCTGGCTATGTAATATTAAAGAAATCACTTCCCCTCTCTGAGCCTCTTTCAGTAAACAGACCTCTCAACTAGGAATAAATGAAATGGTGGATTTGAGCTGCTTAGCCCAGTGCCTGGCAATCGGGAGAACCCTGTAGACAATTCCTAAAATCTTGAGCAACCCCAATGCCAGGTATTTCCTGTGGGAGATATGCAAGAGCCAGGTGCTAGGGACCATATTCTCCTCCCTTGGGGGATGTGGTTTGTGTCATTGTCTTAGCTAGTCTGTTTCCCCCCTTGCTCACCAACACTTCTGATCTCTGGATATTAATTGGATTTTACTCTGTGGAGTCTAGGCCTGAAGCTGCTACTCTCTGGGCTTCTTCTCTCCCTGCTCAGGTGCTGAGTTCAATGGGGTTTGCCAGGGGTCTGGGCGATGTCTGCAGCTGCAATAGCAGCTAGCCCTTTAAGGAGGAAAAAAACAATTATCCAGCCTGGGCATTGCATCAGCTGAAGCCTGGAGGGTCCCTGGGGAGAGGGGGGCAGACTGGTGGTTGATTTCATTAGTGCCATGTGAGATCTCTCACCTGAGTCTGCCCCGCTCCCCAGCGGAACCCTTCTCCCCAGGCAACAGCAGCTCCAGGGCCTCCTCCCACCCTGGGAGCCCCACCTTGGAGGACTGTCTCTGCACCCCCAGGCAGAGGAGGGTAGGAAAGTGTCTCATACAGCCCTTTTGCTGACTGTGGCAGTGTCTCTGCTGCTGCCCTTGTGCTGACTTGGGGTGCAGGGTGCAGCTCCTATACTGGCATTTTGCTGACAGTGGGGGTACCTCCCCCAGTACTGTTTGGCTGACCTGAGGATGTTTCTTTCCCACACTGGCCTTTTTTTTTTTTTTTTTTTTTTTTTTGATGCAAGGGAGGAGGACTTTTGACACTGGCCTCTGGCGCTGACAGTGAGGCTGTCTCCCGTACTGGTGGACCACCGACCTTTAAGAGGAGCTTCATGGTCTGAGGGTGGGGACTGAGGGCGTGGGTTAGAAACAAATGTTCTCTGTGTGGAGGCGAGCTGGCATGGGATGGTGAGTCACAGAGGTGTGAGGTCTGGGGCAGAGAAGAGATTCATCCTCTGTCCTCCGTGTCCATCCTGTTGCCATTTCAGGTGTTGGCTTAGACTCCTGAGCCTTAGTCTCCTCCAGAAAATAGGGTTAATTTGCATCCATACCCATCCACTCTGTCTGGAAAGGGATTAGGAAGTGAAGTGCAGTAATCTGATACACAGCCCCCAGCCCATGGCTGGCAGGTAGAAGGTACTTAATACACATTGGTTCTCCTCCCCACGCAAGGTTGGATGGGGCTCAAGATACCTGGACAAGAAACCGAAGGATCAGGGAGGAGTAATGAGAAGGGAGAAAGTGCGCTGGGCCTTCTTGCCTCTTGCAGGAGGTTGCATTCAGTCCACTGGGTACCAAGGAGGTACCGAGCTCTGTGAGCCAGTAGGCCCCTGCATTGTGGGGCTGGTATTCTAGCAGGGTCATGACCCAGAGCAGATAATTACAGTGTGACAGGCATTGCGAGGAGGGACCTGGAGAGGCTGCGAATCCATCACTGGAGGTACTTGCTGTGCTCTGGCGTCTGGGAAGGGCTCCTGGAGAAAGTGATACTTTAGCTGAGGCCTGAGGGTACCAAGGAGTTGAGGAGGTAAAGAAGTGGAGATGAAGAAGGGAACCATGTGTAGGGCTTGATGTAATGGGGAGGGAGGCCCAGGGTCTGTAGGGCCAGATCCTTGGTCTAGCAGGGACTTACTGGAGGGGTATGGATTTCTTGGAAGACCAGTGGCAGCCCCTAAAGGATTTTAGGCAGAGAAAAGGATTAGATTTCTGGAGAGTGTAGGCTAGAGTCTGTGAATTGCAGACAGAGCCTTCACACAGTGACCTTTTGACTTCTACCCTCTCCCCGTGTGGCAGCAGCTTTGGCACCCTGGGAGTGGTTGTTTACGAGGTTTGTCCCAGGAGGAAGGGGGCCAGGCCTAGTCCCTCCAGCTCCCTCTCTCCGGACTAAACTGCATCTCAGCCTTGTTGACAATGCTTAGCCCTTTGGGGCCAGGTTTTCTCAACTTCCCTGTGGAGCCAGAAGGCCGTACGCAGGGCTTTAGCACCAGGCTGGCCTGTGTTCACATCCCAGCTCTGCAACACAAGAGCAAGGCACACCCCATCTCTGAACTACAATGTCCTCACTATATGATGGGGTTAATATTAATCTTTCTGTCTGAAGGAAAAAGTAAAATTCTAGGTGGAAATCACAAAGCCTGATCTCAGTGTCAGTTGGCTTTTTTATTCTATTTCATGGATGCTGATACTCACCCTGGAGCAGCTACAGGGCTGGCTAGGGTGGGGAGCAGAGTGGGTTGTAAGTGTTCATGGACTTAGAAGGAAGGACCCTGTATTTGGTTTAATTATCTGTTGTCCCCATCTTGAAAGTCTTAATAGTTTGTTTTTTTTTTTTTTTTTTTTTTTTGTCTTTTTGATGCAGGGTCTCCCTATGCACTTCAGGCTGGCCTTGAGCTCACTTTGTAGCCCAGGCTGGTCTCGAACTCGCAAGGATCCTCCTGCCTTGGCCTCCCAAGTGCTAGGATTATAGGTGTGTGCCACCATGCCCAGTGGTCTTAATAGTTTTGAACAAGGGATGATCCCGTGTTTCCTTTTAGCACTGGCCCTTGCGTATTACATAGCCCACAAATCACTGAGGGGTAGGACGAGGCAGGGAAAGACAAACCTGCAAGTAATTCTTCAGTCGAGAATGTAAAAGGTGGAGGGTGCGACTAATTGCCCAGGGTCGGTGGGAAGCTAATTGTAGTAATGCTTATTTAGTGCTTACTGTGTGCTGGTGATCTGCCAGGAATGCTCATCTTTAAGCAGCCCTAAGAGGTGGGTACAACTATTGTCTCCATGGTAGAGATATGAAGAAACTGAGGTTATTTGGCCAAAATGACATAGCGATCATGTGGCAGAGCTGGGACTCAAAGCCACATTGTCCAGCTGCAGAGCACAGGCCTGGGCTAGGGAAGTCTTCACCCAATGGGAGGGGCCTCCTGGGCTGCCCCTGAAGGAGAACTTGGCTTTACCCAAGGGGAAGAAGGTGCACAGGGGAAAGGAGGGCGCCCTCAGCTGGAAAGTGTGTGGAAAAGGGAAGCCAAATCTCACCTTTGGGGGCTGAGGGAAGTGACCTTTGGGTTTCAGAGCTCTGAGTTGAGTTTCCAAGCTCAGAGCCCCTGCTCTCTCTGCCACGTGTTCTGCTGCTCTCATGACTCCTCAGAACTGTTTTGCCCCCTCTTTTCTTTCCATTGCCTCCTCCTTTGCCATCCCTTGGGTCATCTCATTTAGTATCCTAACTTTAATGCTCTCTTCTGGGTTCAGGGCCTGTGCATCCAGCTGCTTCCTGGACATAGACAGTCAGCCTCAGGCCCAAGCCCAAATCTGTAGCTCTACCCACCCACACCTGCTCTTCTTCCAGGGTCCACAGCTCATCTCTGGCACCATCATCCACCCACTTGCTCAAGCTGGAAGCTGGAAATTCTCCTGGACTCTTCCCCCTCCTCGCCCCCACATCCTATAGCCAAGCCTCAGCAAGTCTTGTTATTTTCCCTGAATACCTCTGGGTTTATGAACCTGCCCACAGCCCCTCAAGCCCACCACCAGTGCTCACCTAGACATTGGTGATGGCCTCGTACTTGGGCTCCTTACCTTACCATTCTTGCCTCCTTGGTTTCGTTTTTTACACTGCAGACGGAGTGATCTAAAGATAAATGTTTGCCAGTGTGGTGGTGCACGCCTAT